GAAATCAGTCCCAGAATATTTTAATAATAGTAAACATTAAAATGTATTTGGAAATATTGGATTGAATTGGAAGATCTCATGACAGTCCACCAGTGAGTTAGGATCAGTGTTATCATTTTCCACTTCAGGCTGTGTGAAGAGTCTGTGTACAACTTTGATAAGAGGATAAATGAGGAACATTGTCAGGAGTGTCTGAAAAGACTGCTGTATTTGTACACTACTCTGGACAGTTCCTTCTCCCACAGAGCAGAGATGGAAAGCTTGTACTTACTGTTCAACCTGGGCAATGCAGATGCAATTCGACATGCTCTTAATTTGCCAAAGTCACTAAGGTAAATCTAAACTTTTACCCCACCTTCAGTAATTGCTAACCTTGCTCAAGTATCTATCTCAGTATTTTCTCAATTTATCGTGTCGCTCATTCGTCAAGGTGTTCCTGCTCAAGCAACACAGGGGGACTCCTGCTCTCGCAACCAACACCAACCAATTATTGAACCAATTACCGAACTTCCAAATAGTACTATAAAATTATATGTATAAATGGGCAGTTTGTTAGTGTGTGTCACAGCTATTGAAGGCTTCAGTGCATGCAAGCAGGTTATATATTGTAGCATCTGTGGGACTCATCTAGATGTTGACTGATGGAAAATGAACACATTTATGATGAACTGAAGTAGTAAGTATTGAAATAAAAACAAAAAAGTGTTTTCAGTTGGCAGGTTGGCAAGTGGCTTATCTTATTCCTAGCATACTTTAGGTCTTGACATTGTTTTATTAAAAACGGAGTATTGCAACTAGAGTCATATTTCTCAAATTGGCACACAAAAGATATCAGTTTTTTACTTGAGTCAATGCTACTGAGTCAGTCATAACTGTTATTGTTAACATCTAAATTATAACCGTTTGATTTTTCATTTTTGCCCTTTGAGTATTAGTGATATGTTTGCTACCAGGCACTGGAATTAGAAGTTTTTTTTTTCTTTGATATGCAGAAATTTGGTGCATTTATTACCTGGGAAAACCTTTTAATGATACAGCACAGATAATCCAGATATGGCAATATCCTCTACAGCTTCTTAACATTTCATAAGGCTTTATGTGTGTGTACTTTGTTGTTTACAATGAGTTCCAGCTATGCACGCATAAAATATGACTTGGTTTCTTATTTCAATTGTTTTCAAGGTTAATATAAAATGGAAGTAACAAAGCATACATTTGCACAAGCAAGTAGTGTTTTACATTGATCTTCAGGAATAATTGATGGCAAGTCCATTAGTAGATTAGGTCAGTGCTGTTAAACTTCAAGCTCTCAGTGCTTGTAGAATGTGAAATGGTTTTCATGTATCTGTTCTGTACTAGGGTAATTTGATAGATTACTGTGAGATTTGGCTGTTATTAAAAGTTTGTTTAACAGTAGATCGCATTAAGAGTAGATTATATCTATTTATCTGTGTATTAATTAGCTTCCTGTGAAGCACTTTCATTTGATGCTGAATGAAATATTGCATGCTGACCATGTTTTTGAAGTAAACATTATCTTTCTAGATAAATATTTTCATTTTTTATTCAGGTAGTGATCTATGTGTATGATTATTATTTTTTTCATTTCAGGGTAATGTCTGTGAAAGGCTTTCTCTCTTCAAAAGCTATTAAAGTGATCTACAACATCTATTTTCCCAGATTTTGGTCAGCACCACCTTCCAACCCCTCCCCCCCCATATTCAGGGCCTAAACAATACATATATTATCTTATTTATCAACTAGAAAGCATACCATTAGTGCAGACCTCCATCAATAAAAAAGCAAGAGGTTTAAATTCATATGAAATTGCAATCACTTTTTTCTCTCCTTAAATACTCTATACCTAAATTTTCCTAAAAATTTGTACATAACTGATGCCATTGAAAAACTACCCCTTCTAAAGTAATATTGCTAGTTTTTAGAGGATGTTTTATGCATTTTATAGTAGTTGCAAATCATCACACTTTACATATTTTATCAGACAAAATGTTTCTGAGACCACATTTTTCTTCCTTGGGAGTCAGCCAAGTTAGAGTTTCAGTATATTTTCACTTTTGACTAAAAGAAAATTATTTGAGCAGCCGTTGTAAATTTATTGCATAAAAAGATGTGTGACACTTTGGTGTGGCTGTTTAATTAAGGTAAAATTGGTAAATTTAAGTAAAAAGTCTAAAATAACCATCAGTACAACTGTGTATAACAGAGCAATATCATACGTAATTCCCTGGGGTCTGTCACAACCCAGTGTGAGTGAAAACTGATGGACATAAACCAAGGTATTAAACCTTAATTTCCTCTGTGAACTAAATTGATATATTAATGTAATATTTAGTATTTAGTTTAGCAGTTGTACATGGACCAGAATTGTTATTTTGACCTTTTCGTATTCATATTACAGGCAAAGTGAGCCTCTTCAGATGGCTTTCAGAGTAACATGGGCATATCTACAAGCCAATTATGTAAGGGTGGTTAGACTGGTGAAGAAGTTGGAGTTCTTACAGGCTTGTGCTGTCCACCAGCACCTCATTAGTATTCAGAGGTAAGGAAATTCTGACTTCAGAGATAAGGAAATTTGAAAATCATGTCATTTGCCTTTTCTCTCACATATGCCTGCACGTTTGCGCACACACATACTGATTATTTAGCATTACCCATTCTTTCTACTTGTATCTGTGAAAGATGCCAGGAGAAAGCAACACACAACTGCTGTGCACTATTCTAAAAAAAATCAGAGCTAATCTTATTCATTAGGTACTCCTTTGCCATGGAAAAATTTAATTTCTCAGTGCTGCCCAATCCCTTTGAAACCGTGAAGCACTTAAAGACAACCCTACCATGCACTTAAATATAAACACAAACTTTGGCATTATTTTTATTAAAGTGACTCAACTTAGACAAAAGAAAAACTTAATCATATTTATTTAGATTTTTTTTTTTATTTTTGAAATTTTTGTAAAAGTTCGTTTTCCACCATAAGGCTGAAACCACCTGTTTTTCAGTTGTTTACTCAGCTTGGTTTACTTCTCCAATGTTACTTCATTGTAGGGATGCCCTGCGCAGAATGAGTGTAGCATACCACAGTAAAGCCTGTAGGTATCCACTGGACCATTTAGATGAGATTCTGGGCATTGGGAGCACGGTCAGTCTACAGGCCATGTGCCAGCAGTGTGGGCTAACTGTCCAGGATGGGAAGATCTGTTTCCAGAGAGGAAATTTTAAGGAGCAAGAGAAGGTATGGCAGAAAGGTAGTCTGATTTATAATGGGCATAAAATCAAAGACAGTGACAAAAGAATTATTGTACAACCCATTTGTATAATGATAGCTGATGGTAGTATTTAATTTTGTAGATATCAGTTTCCCCTTCAAATCCTTCTTAAACATTGAGGTTCTCAGCTGAATATAACTGGTATTACATTGTCCCACTTACCGTAACTAGCTGGTGGTACACTTCCAGAAGGTGCTCTCCACCTCTCTGATCCTCCAGTTTGAATGTATAAATCAGTGTGCTTTAAATTGAGAGAAAACATTGTGTAGGTTTCTCAGACAAGCTATGACCTGGGGGTTTCAGTGAATAATATGAATCTGAAAATAGATTGCCTGTGCACACTGTGCCAACTTCATAGAACCAGAATGACAGCTCTTGCAAATTACACCACTCTCAGCCACTGTGGGACTTGTACATTTCCAATCTTAAAATCCACGATTGACAATTTATTTCAGAATTCCCTGTATCCCCTTGATTTTATTGACTCCATGCTCAGTTCCAAGTCAGTAATGGATATCCTTGTGAAGGATAATGGATGAAGTTCTCTGGTTCTCCCAAAGAAAACTCGACCAAATGAGTGGGCCAAAAAGGACAAGAGGGACGGCTATGTAGGTTGGATAATGGTGTTTTTGAAGAAAATAGGCACATAAATTGAGTGAGGTGCTATTATCACTGCCAAGGAGGTTATGTTTTTCACCTCGGTTTATCTCTGTCCATCTGTTCATCACCAGCCTAACCCAAAAAGTTACGGAGCGATTTTGATGACATTTTTAGGATTGGTCAGAAATAGTTTTTATTTGGGTGGTGATTATGCAGTTAGCTAATTAATTGGTTAATTAACTGATAATTGATAATGATGAGAATTTAGCTAATCAGTTAGTTAATTTCTAGTAACTTAGTAATTGAGTTAATTAATTAATTAGTCTTTGTGGGAATCTGTGATCTCTGAGTGGTTTGTTGATTACCTATCTCACTTTTTAAAAATAAATGTCAGATAAATTTACACTGAAGACTTTGTTAATTTTAACAAATTGATTTTGTTTTTCTTTTAAGGTAAAATGGAAAGAGTCACCTGTGGAAAGCAAAATTAACAGACAAGAAACACCCCAGGTTGGAGGATCTCAGAACTTTAGGAAGCCTTTCCTTGTGATTCTGATATCGATTTGGTTCTGATCAATTATATGGTAATAAATTTGAGAATGGATGGAAACCAAATTCATAAACACTGACTACATGTGATAATTCTAGTGGCTTGAAAGTAATATTTGACAGTACAAAGTAATAGTTGTTTCTGATGAGACTAGCACATACAGGTATTACCTACCAGTGCTACAAAAGACATGACAATAAACCTATTTCACAATTTTTGATATTTGTAATATTCCTTTTATTGCATGTTACTAAACAGTAATTCTAGCAGCTGCTGTAAACAGTGTTGGATAGTTCAGAAACAGAATGTGTTATGCAGGGGCGGATCGGGGGATATTTTCTGACAGTCTTCCAAATTATCTTTGTTGAACCATCCTCCATTTTTGACCGTCTTCTGACAGAAAAAATTAGATACCCTTCAATGTAAACTTGAAAATCTGACCGTCTTCCAGAAGACCCAGATTACGGCCTAAATCCGCCCCTGTTATGTGCTAGATAATGCACTGTCACCCAAAGGATGTAAGAAGAAACATCTCAAGCATCAGTGAGGGGTGTTCAAGGCATACGTATATTATGAGAGGGTAAGTGTATTATTTGACATACATACATACAGAGAAAAAAAGTTATGGCATTTCACTGAAAACGCCCCATAATGCAGAATATATTTCATGGAAGTGATACATGATGATTTTCACAAAATAGGAGACATGAGGTGGCTGATATTTATTTATTTGCAGAATAAATAACTGTACAAGCTTAAGGTATGCCCAGACCCATGTTAAATACACAAAAATAAAGAACATTTATATAAATTATTTTTCATAACCAGTTAATTGCATAAAACATATTCTGTATAAATCATTTACTTACAACAGCATAAGCTTAGATATATAAATAGATATATATAACAATAACAAACAAAAACAAGTAAACAAAATGTAAAACATTTTTATGACTGAAAAGTGCAACGTGCTAGGTGAAAGTGGAACTTTTGAGATATGGAACCCATAATACAAACTGAATTGTCGTAGACCTTGTTACATTACTGTGTAATACATTTTGAGTTTATACAGTCAACAATTTGGCTATTCCATTATTTTCATCAAAACCACTTTGAATGCTGTTGCTTCACTGCTAACCTTTCGGTCATAATTCCTTGCTTGTTTCCATTCTAAAAATGTTTAAACATCTCAGATGTTTGTTAAATCACAGTTACTTGAATGGAAAATAAATCAATAATAAATATAATTTACATATACCACAGTCGGAGAGAGACGGTTAGTAAAATCTGAAAGAAAAAAGGCCAACAGATTATGCAATGTGTCCTATAAAGTTGTCTATGGGACCATTCCCACTTGCTATCAACTCAACAGGCATAAATGTGTGACACGCCTAGTAAAGCTGTTAGGGGGTAATTATCTTTACCCCCCTAACTGATTCGGTAGGTGTGACAGACATTTAAGCCGGTTAGTTGATAGCAATTTAGTGAGACTCCCCAGGGAGTTAGACCGATCCAGATGGATCGATCTAGGCATGGGAACCCAGTCTATGTGGTTATCTAGTCCTGTGCTTGTAATAATGGAAATGACGTAACAGTTAAGCAATATATCAGAAGCTATAACACCAATAATACTTGGTATAAAATAACGTTATACGAAAAAAACAAACAAGATACATATGCGTGAAAGTTTGAAGATGTAATTTGATTTCGTTTCCTCTCAAATAATTTCCTTTAGAATTTTTCGAAATAACCCATAAAAATGAAATGGCACTACTGTATCTGTACATTATCTCCAGCACGAGTAATGTCACACAGTGTTTTAGAATGCCGGAACCACGATCTCAGTACGAATAAATGCAGTTCATAAAAATATATGCAACAAGATGCAGATGATAAAGGCCACGTACATATAGTATCCCGGACCGTGATTATGATTAACGGCAACGCTCTTTCTAAACCGTCGCACGTTTTCCCTCACACACGTGGAACGGTTGGACAGGCGGTTCCAGATTGAAGACTCTCCCGCTGGGGGCGCTGGGCGTTCTGTGGCACCAAACATGTTGGCGTAGCAGTTCTTCACAGCCGATCTGGCTCCCTCCCACTTTCCAGGCCCCTCCAGGCGGAACTGCGCGGGAACACAAGGACCAACGAAACACCAGAGAGCAAACATGGGATCTCTGAAAAACATTTTCTTGAGATTTGGTTTGCAGCCGACTGCGTCTGCGAGTTCGTCCATGTATGGCACCCAGAAAGTCTGTAATTGTAGATAATATTAATGATTAACAACGTTTGTAGACACAGGTTATGTTGGACATTAAAGATTAATATTTGCTTTCAAGGCCCATATAACGGAAACTGACATTTTAGGGCGCCACCGGTTAAATGTTTGATGTCTATATGTGTTGGGCGAGAGTCGAGTCCCGTCACAAAAACCAACCTTTCCTGTTTAAAATTAATGCTAAATTTGGAGTTGTACTAGTAAATGACACACTTTAAGAAACAATATCAATAAAAGGGGGTAAGTAATTAAACGTAATCACAAACTACTGTGGCCACATGTAAATGATAAATACCATTATGCATCATTCATAGATTTGATAAAAGCCTTGCTCCGCGATCATGGGTTGAACGTAAAAAAGCATTTTCGGTTTTTAGATTCACTAAGTGAGCTGCAGCAGTGCATCTATCAGTATATGTGTTGTGGATCATTAAATTCCATTTAATTTCAACAGCAAAAAAAGTGGAATAGGAGTTTTCTTAATGGCTCAGCCTACGAGGCCATGTCGTAGGAACAAAAGGTCCAATAATAAATATCTTGAAGCCGGTACGTTTTTTCACGCGTTCCCTAAAACTCGCTCACAATCACCGTTTCTTACCTGCAATGCATGCCTCTGAGAAGGCAAAAATGTCTGTCTTACGTTCTTCTTTCTCTGGGCTATGTCTTCCATCATAATTTCTTTCGAAGGTAGAGTGAGATGACCTGCCATGTCAAAGTTTGGATATTTAACCACATTACAGATGCACATGTAATGGTAGTAAACTAGTCAAAAACGGCCATATACAATAACAACACTAACCCTTAAACGGCATTTGAATGATACAATATGGTTTTAAGAGGCAAAAACACATAAAAATTTCGAACATTTGTAAAGCGCAATGTAAATAAGATTAGTAAAATAAAAAGTAATAAATATAATTACCTTTAACGATCCTGGTGAACCAACGGCTCTGTAGCTCAGAGATGGGCATGACTGCGCCCACTGCTTGAACCAGGCCTATCATTGCCAGGGTGGGGTGCGGTAATTGTGGCGGGAAGACGTACTTGTACAACTCTATGTTGTTGTTCTCTGTGTTCAACACGGTGGAGCTCAGGAACCGGTACTTGTAATCATAGCCGGTGGCCAGGATCACGACGTCTATGCTTTCAAATGTGTTGTCATCAAACATCACCCCTGAAAAAAAAACAATTGTTTACACACATCAATTACTCCATACAAATGGAAGAGCCCATCTTTTCGTTGAACGCGCTTATCTCAGATTGTTTTAGATGTTCTTGGTGTGTTTGTCAGCAACGTTGCGTATCGTTCATCAAACGCAATTGGAGAAGCTATCAACTTACCGTTTTCCGTGAAGCACTTGACATTGGGTCTCACTCGAATGGCTCCGTTCATTATCCTTAAATGGATGTCCTCGTTTATGGTGGGGAACGCTTCAAGTGCCCTGAAAGAAAGATTGACAAAGTAAACTATTTTTTATTTGACAAAAAACCAAATAATGACGAAAAACGTGAAAGGTTCCGTCAATAGGAATATTTCCATTTCAATTTTTTTAAATTTACAAAGTGTTTACCGAAAGAATGGGAAGCACATTTTTTAACTGAAAAAATCGTGACATGTCCTTACCTGTGTACGGGATTGAGACCAAGGCGCTGATGGTTGAATTTATAATTCGCCATTTTCTCCACACTCCACTGGAGCAGCCAACGCGGCAACGAGAACATCACCCTACTGTTGGCCATGGCGTCCGCAGGAAAGCCGAAGGGGCCCAAGCGACTCACGACCCATGCGCCACGACGAGAGCTGAGATAGATCTAGCAAAATAATAAGGAAGTTTGTGATAAAAACTGTCGCACCACAAAGAAATAAACTTATGAAAATGAAAAATTAAATCTTTTCTATTTGGTGCCAATGAGGCATGACACGTGGACCCTTCATTATAGGACCTTGATCACATGACTAACTTGTCAATTTTTAAATTAGAAAAATTAGTAATATATTGAAAAAAGTCATAAGGGTCAATTTTCTTCACTACTGCAAGTTGTAAAGCGCCAGTTCAACCTTGCAGACATTGTGCAGTGCTCACTCGTGTTACTTAAATGTTCAATGAAAGAGGTTGGCAAATGAAGCGCGATTTTCTGACCGAAGGCCCTTCAAACGAAATGAATTCTTTCAAGTATCATCCATCTCAGGAAAAGATGATGCAAAATGATAAGGTTTGAACTACCTGCGCCGAAACCCTGGACATTAGCAGTGCCACATGGGGTCAATCTTTTCAACCTAAAGACCAAAGCTATTGTAAAAATGGGCGCAAAATTGGGACACCCTGAACTGAACTTTGGGTTTTTGGCATATTTGAGGTTGAACACAGTGTACTTCACGTAACAAGAGATCTTTGTCATTTAAAAAGCAGTAACTGTGAGTCAAGCAAAGTTCATATCTATTCTTCACTTCTACGACTGCATAGAATTTCATGCCCAAAGGACATACACCAAGCAGCAAAGCGTGAAGTTCGACCTTGTCTTAGTTGGGTCAGTTTGGACTTTTTTGTCGGGCTTTTAAGTCTATGAAAGATATATACCATTTGCATTTTGATCAAATTCTCAAATTTGAATCGGAAAAAAAAAACAGAAATGCGCGTCTGTGTCTATATGATTTCCTTTCCAATAATTATTTACTTATGCCTATTGCTCCTTTCAGTTAACATTTTTGATCGCTCTAAAAGTCATAGTTTTTTTTTTTTTCGTTTTCCTGTATTCCAGCTCATTTGCTTAAATGACAAAACAAAGATAAAAAATGGGAGTAAGGACAAAAGAAATGATACAGATTATACCATGGTTATTTAAACACCTTAAACCATATACGAAATGTCAATAAAATATATTTTCTTGTACGAATTAGAAAAAGTTAAGCTGGCGTAA